CCCCCCCCCCCCCCCCCCCCTCCCCCCCCCCCCCCCCCCCCCCCCAATTGTTCCTTGACTTTTCATCTGCAGACTCTCCTGTTGGAGTGGCACCAGCTGGTATGAAGCTCTGGTTTGGTTCTTGATTGAATCTTTGTGACTCTCATAATTTGCTGGTTTACGTTGGCCCTTTTCACACATGAGATGTGCAGCATTACTCCACTCATACTTTACATTGAATCAAGTCTAGGGGTGAATATGAAAGTAGTTCCTGTTTTAAGGAGATCCTCAGTATTTAGAGCAGTGGATGGGAAAACCGCTACGGACTCTTTCGTGCAGATTGAGTCTGCAGCAGCAGTTTTTCCTAAAAATAACAAACTGAAATACTATAATCATGATCCCAAAACATTTTTTTTTTCTGAGCCACTTCCTGCTTTTAACAGGTGTTTTATGGTCATTTTATGATTGTAAGGCTTTAAAGGGGAATGAGGAGCCTGAAAAAGGTATTTATTTATTGTACTTTCTGGTAGTTTGGTAAAGTTTGCAAACATCACTCTTAACATTATATTGAAGGCTAAGTTCAGACTAAATGGGACAAAGCTGTTTGTTGTTACAGTAGTCCCTCACTTATCGTGGGGAAAACGTTCCAGACACCAACCCGATAGGTGAAAAACCACGAAGTTGAAACGTTTTTTATATATATATATATATATATATATATATATATACATATACATATACACTGTCCAGTACTGCAAAATTTTATGTGAGTACTCACCAGCTCTGCAGAACAGCAGTTTGATTCCCGTCGGTCTCGGTTCCAGTTCAGCGGACCTACCCTGCAGCAGCATGACAAGCCCAACTCCCCGTCCAGGTTGAAGTGCATGTGCTGCCACTCCAGTTGTGACACTTCGTGCGCAAGGCTAACCAGGATGTAGTCCACCACCTCGGCCTGGGTCTGGACCAGCACCGCGGCGACCAGATCCAGGTCGTGTGTTCGCGCTTGCTCCCTCTGTTGCTGCCTTTTTGGCAGAAAGCAGGGACCGGGAGCACTGTTGGCTTCTGGGCCGTGTAGTTCTTTTGACTTGACTTATTGAAAGAAAACTACAAAATGGCAGCACCTGTCTGAAGATTTTTTGTTTGTTTTGTTTTTATTTTTGCCCTATTGGACAAAATCTTGTGTTGAAAAAAATCCAACAATCTTATGTTGAAAAACAGCAAAAGAGCGAGTCCGTGAAATTCGAACCGTGAAGTAGCGAAGGACTACTGTATTTATTTTTGTATTGTTAAAAATGCACCAGGATTGACCTAAAACTGTCAACAAAATACAATTTCACGTTAGAATGGAGCTTTTACTGCGACAGCTGTAGCTTGAATGGGATTTTTTGAAAAGATGAAAAGTTTTCTTGTGCTTTGCTCTTGTGTAGAGCTCAGATTGTTATTCTAAGCTAATTTTAAAATGTTCATAGGAAACTAAAAGCCTCCAGTCACAATGTCTGGTTTTGAGTAAAACATTTCTGCCGTTTTAAACTTTATTTCTGTTCGGATGTACTCTCATTTTACTCACTGACCTTGGTTTACTGTTTTTAACTCGAGTGAAACTTTTAACCCCGAAGCACCTTGACTGTGTGAGCGTCCCCTTTGACCTCTGAGTGTTTAATGTTTGGCCGCTCTGATTTGTGTCCCAGATTCTCCTTCGTCTGTGGTAAACAAACAGCTGGGATCCATGACTCTGGATGAACAGCAGGGTGCGTGTCTGCTGCATATTCCTAATCCTAATTTTGCTCATCAGTAATGATAAAAATAAGTATTGGTGCACATTCAGTGCAAGCTACACAAAACACAAGCATGCTTCCTCTACTCTGATTAGCCATTTGCTTCACCCTTTTGCTCGGCAGGAGCCGAATCTGCAGGTTCACCTCCTAATGAGGCCGGTCCTGCAGCGGCCACCGCCATCCCGCCCCCCATCACCACCTCTACCTCCACCTCCACCACCCGACCCAGCACAGCGGAGCCCGTCCTAAGCCTGCACTACAGCTCAGAGGGCACCACCACCAGCACCATCAAGCTGGACTTCACTGATGAGTGGTGAGTGACGTCTGACCACAGGAATGTCCAGAAAAAACCTCTGATGATTAGATTAGTTTTAAAAAACACAGGACTTAAATATTCTTCATGGCAACACGGAGATGCTAAAAAGTTTAATGTGAGCAAATGAATCCGAATCAGCTTTATTGTCATCACACCGAAGCACAATGAAATTACATTTCAGTACAGCCCGTCCAAGTAAAACACAAACAGACATGGGGAGACGGAGGTGTTTGAGGCTGCGGCCTCGTGGGAGGTGCCGCCCTTTTCGTTTAGGTAAGAAAAGAGAAACATGAGAGAAGAGGAGGTGTAAATAAATGTCTTAGATGGGACACAGTGTGAAAGTTGCAAAAAAAAAAGTCTCAGCACAGAAATAGCAACATATTGATGACATCATAATACATATATGCATAAGGAAGGCCGACTAAGGCGATGAGTTTGTCTGTGGACGCTGTCAGATAGTTCCATATTCCTGATAGATGGGGCAGTGTCCATCAGCTGCTCTGACACAGGTCCACAGATGTCCTTGGGAAGGGAGCGGGTAGGGGAAAATAAAACCAGTGGAAAATAAAAATTACCGTTTCTAAAAATTGTATAATCGTCTCATTTATAATCCTTGATGATGGAAAACGTTTAGTTTAAACCATTTCAATGAAAGTAAGACAAATCAAATGACTTCAAATTAGGATTTCAGAAAAATTAAATGGTTTCTTTATAAATATGCTTATTTTGGTGCCGTTTTTAAAAATGAATGTGTCAAATGGAGCGCAGGGATGATGTGGTGTTGCATCTCAACAAGAAAGTTGTTGGTTTGAATCTCACCTGGACACGTTCTGTGTGAGGATTTGTTTTCTCTGTGCTGGTGCGCTAAGGCCAGAGTCCAGAAACGTGCACTTAGGTTAAATATTGTTTCAGAATTATTGAATGTTTTGTTGGTCTCTGTTCTGACTCTAGAGTGAACTGGTGACCAGTCCAGGGGGGACCCCCACCTCCAGTCTTTTTACTTCTCAGTATAAAACCAAGTACACAAATGAAAGATTAGATTGTTTTTAATAAGTGGTGGACATGAACTGCAGCCACTTTAACTCTGACTTTATTTTCTAGACAGCAGATTTGTTGTAAAAGTGTAGAATGTGGTTTACCATCATTCTGCTGAATTAAATCCCATTGTTCCTTTATGGTTGAGCTCTAAAACCTGCATATCTCATTCTGAGTAATGGTGTATTCAGAGTTGCCACGTCCCAAATCTTTATTTCATTATCTTTAGATAACAGGGCAGATGGTCGGTCTTCTTAGACAGGAAGATGCAGCATCTGAAATTTGTTAAAAACTGTAAACTTGAGTCGTCAGATTGCAAGATGGCTTTTATATTTAATTTATTCAGTCCCATAATGCATTTAGACAGAAAATTCAGCACTGTTTCTAATGTTTTAATTTATTTCTTGTTTGCATTTTTGACTTTTAATGTTTTAACAAGCCTCTTTTCTGATCTATAACCTGAAATCTGGTCTCAGTGTTTCAGTATTTATCACATGATCAGTATTCCAACGTTGGTGGTTCCCTGCCACATTTTTCTGAGCCCTTCCCGTTTCATCTGATTTTGTGTTATCTTCTTTAGTTTAACCTATATTTTTTAATCATCTGTTTAGGAGCAGCAGCACATCCAGCTCTCTGGGCAGCGGAGGCTCTAAGACCTCCGAGGCTGTGGCTGCTCAGAGCAGAGCGAGTCCGTCAGCAGAGAGTTCGGCGTCGGAGCAGGGTGAGTCGGCTCATTCAGCACCTCCAAACAGTCCTGTTTAAACAGACCAAAATAAAAAAGCTTCTTGTGCAACCTCCCCTCAGTTCCCTGCGAGTCCTCGGGGCAGCAGACTCTTCCAGCGACCCCCACAGAGCCTCCAGGTGATGTTACATGCTCCAGCTCTGCGAATCAGAGTCTGGTAGGGGTCTCACCTGAGGGGGACAACGTGTCGTCCTCACCACAGGAGAGGAGTCAGCCGGAGGGTTCGGAGGACACGTCGGGGGGTTGCAGGAGAGCAGAACCTGCTGGAGAGGAAGGGGAGGGTCGGAGTCAGCCGCCGCCAAGCAATCAGGACTCCGACGACAGCGACGACGATCCAATCCTAATCCCACCCACAAGGTTCAGAGGGCAGGGACAGAGGTGTGTTAGACCAGATTATATTCTGGCTCCTCTTAACACATGACACAAACCCAACTTTTAGTGTGAAACCTTCCCACTGACTGTTTTACAACAAATCTACCGTAGATTTAATTCCAGGGGCTCTGCTGTAGGAGATAGGATGATCAGGTAATGTCTGCTCTGGAACATTAAAGCTTCTAACCCCTCAGGTGTGTGAGCTGCTGCGGAGCATTTAAACTCCACAACTCAACCGCTAACCTTGATTTGTGTGTTTATTCAGCTGGGAATTCCACTTTTACTAACAATTCACAGATTCCCTGCATGAGAGCACAATCAGTGTGGAAAATAGCATCACAGCTGCATTTTATATGTTCTTTTTTTTCATCAAGATGTTTAGTATAAACAACCGGTGTGCATGGTCTGATGGAAAGACAGAGAAAATAAAAGTTTGAATTTCTCTGTAAAATCTGTCTAAAGTCACATAACAAGAAAAAAGATCCACCTGAGTCAGATGTGCTGAACAGATGTTCTACCTAAAAAGAACCGTCTGCTTTCTATCCAACAAAGTTCAGTCAGGTCATCTGGACGGTTTCTTTTTTTTGTTTTTTTGTTGTTGAGATGTTAGAGTTTTTCATCCAAAGGACTTCATCAGTCTGAGGAGCAGTGTTTATTTTGAGTCAGATCCTGCCGGAACAAGATCCGGGAACTCTTATTTAGACAGGGTGCGTTCTGGCAACAGTTTGCTTGGATCCGGCAACTGTCAGGCTTACTAATAATAAATTTATGAACAAATATGGCTGCCTTGTCGTTTGGGGAGCCATGCTTGAACCGTGTCGCTCCCCTCTGCTGCTGAGACAATAAATAAATAACTCCTACACCTCCGCGGCTGTTTTTATGACGCTCTGGACGCTCATCACCCACAACACTCATGCAACAAAGAGTATAACTCAAAGAGGGAGCGACACCTGCCCTTTCCTGTTTCACATTGACAAAATGTTTTAGTTGTATCAATAAGTTTGTCAAAGCACAGTTTAGATGTCTTTTTATATATAAATACAGAAGTAATGTTTAATAAATGTTAGGACTCCATTCTATGCTAACAAAATATATTTTATTTCATTAAACAACTTGTCAGGTTCTTCTCCTCTTGTGAACATGCGCATCCCCCAGGATACCCCCACCCCATTGAACTGCCCACTATTTGCATTACAGCAGCAATCGGTTTACAAATTAAGCCCTGCCAAGGAGCCACAACAAACTCAGCCCCACAAGCAGCACACCCACATAGTGGACCAACCAGTTTGCCAGTGATCAGATGGTTTCTGGGGCTCGCCCTCTCCCTCATCGACTCCTCTGAGGCAGCCATAGTCAAAGTGGTTCAACTGTTTGTGGGACAGTTTGTTGTGGCTCCTTGGACTGATGAAGTCCTTTGGATGAAGGATGAAATGTCTCAACAAAAAGAAACCGTCCAGATAGCCTGATTGCCACCTGGATAATCGAGCATGAACTTTTGACACCTGGTTCCTAGTTTTTAATTCCTTTTCACGTGTTTTTTGTTTCCTCCTCAGACGCTCGGCAGCAGCTCGTATCCAGGAGTTGTTTCACAGGAGAAAAGAAAGGAGAGAGATGGAGGGCGAAACGCAAAACATCAGGAGACCTTCAGTCAAAATGGTTTACAAAGGCCATCGGAACTCCAGAACGATGGTAAACCATCCCGTTCTGTTTAAAACGTCATGAACGTGGAATGATTCAGGGCTTTTGAAACCTGCTCGGGTGTTGAGCTGGAGTCAGGGAGCTGTTGGCTCAGCGTGAAGACACTGAACACTGGGAAAGATCTGCTTTTTGTCTAAACATATCTGAACTTCCAAACACAACATTTGACATTATGCAGAATATAAGCTGCACCATAATATGAGACTCAAATGACTTTTTAAGCAAGTTAATAATGTTTTAGGAAAAGAGGATTCAGTTAAAGTACCAGGAGGCAGAAATTCATGACACAGATTGTTTCTTCTAGTTTTACTAGATTTAGATTAGATTAGTTTTTAGTTCTAGAATTGTGCCGCTCAAGCTGCTGCATGTTGGAGTAGCTGTTACTTTCATTCTGCGGTATTGCTTTTGAAAACTTTATTTCCTCTTTGTTTCTGGATGTAAATGCCTTTTTTTGACTGATTACGTCCTCTGGTATTGGATGCTGTGCAGCTGGAAGGATTTTTACCGAAAACCTTTTCACTTTTGGACATTTGTGATGATGTGTATCCATGACAACAAGGTGTTTTTTTTTACAACCAGGAGCAGCTGATTAACATCTCAAAGCTCAAATATTACCTCAAATACAGCCCCAAATCCCAAATGAGTTGTAAAGGAGGCGCCGTGGATGCATCTCCGTCTACCTGGTGGAGGTGCTTGAGTGCAGGAAACGTGGCTCATGACAACAAGAAGACCAGGATCATCCCCCGACACCTGTAGTTGGCTGTCTGCAATGATGAGGAGATCAACAAGCTGCTGAGAGGAGTGGCCATCGCTCAGGGAGAAGTTCTGCCAACATTCAGGTGGTCCTGCTGCCCAGGAGGACCAAGAGGCCCGCTGGGTCCAGGTGGACGGATCAGCATCTGCAGCCAGTTTTTTCAGATCCGCTGTGAGACGGACTGCTGCTGCAGATCTTCCTGCCCACAGCCATCTGCATCAAACTACTCTTAATGAAACCAGGAGGAAGAGCTACAACAACATTTAATTTCCCTTTGGGATTAATAAAGTATTTTGAGTTGAATTGAATTAAAGCGAAGGTGTCGTAACGACACACTGAGATCAGCTTTAGTATTTAAACAGATTTTATAATTTACATTCTTTTTGTTTTAATCTGTTCCTTTAATTGTCTGCAGAATATTGAACATTTCAAAGTGGTTTTTCGTTTTCAGATAAAGGAGTCGTGTTTCTGGGGCAACAACTTTGTGATGAGCGGCTCAGACTGCGGACACATCTTCATCTGGGACAGACACACCGCAGAGCACCTCATGCTGCTCGAAGCCGACAACCACGTGGTCAACTGCCTGCAGCCGCACCCGTACGACCCCAGTGAGTCCCCCGTCCAGCTGGGCTCCATGACCTTTAACGCACCGAGTCTAACCGCGATGCTCGCTGTCTCTGCTCCGTTTCAGTCCTGGCTTCTTCAGGAATCGACTACGACATCAAAATATGGTCACCGCTGGAAGAGTTGCCGTCTTTTAACAACGTCCTCGCCGATGAAGTATGGCACCCTCTTTGGATAAAATGAAATAAAAATGACAAAAGTGCCTTTACATCCAACATTCAGTAACTAGTTGTTCATTATTGCCTGCTGCTGACAAGGTGGGCAATAATGTTTTTGTTTGTGTGTGTGCGTATGTGTGTCTGACTGTTGGCAAAATGTGTCATAAACTACTGCATAGGTTTTATTGAAACTCAACAAGTAACTCTTTGCTAAACATCTGCAACTGGTTCACTTTTGGAGTCGACCCAGTTCAAGATGCGTGCCACAGCTGAGCGTCTTCAACAAACAGAAAACGGCTATAACAAAAAAAAAGGCTGTACCTCTGTCAAGCCTACAGATAGCACCTGAGTCATCCCGAACACTCGGAGCATGTAAAACATTTTATAACATCCTCACCGAAGATAATATGTCTTGAAGAGGTAGGTGCATGTGTTCTGATCCTTCCATGTCAAGTGTTTTTACAGAAATGTTGCTCAGTGTGTTAGTGCTCAGAGTACCGTATTTTCCGGAGTATAAGTCACATCAGTCAAAAAAAAAGCATCATGAAGAGGAAAAAATGTGTGCAAGTCGTTTCGGTGTATAAGTTGCATTTATTATGCATTTATTTAATGGTCAAAAGAGCTTCATTTAATCTGGGCTGCACGGTGCCATCCATCCATCCATCCATCCATCCATCCATTCATTCATTCATTGCAGCTGGAACTGCTAGCTCTCCAGCCTTCCTGTACCAGCTGAGTGAAGCGAGCGTGCACGGGAGGACTCGCAGTTCTTAAAAATTTAAAGCATTAGTCAAAAATGGTTATGAATATGGAGAAAGAAAAAAATGTATTTAAGTCACTTTGGCGTATAAGTTGCAGAACTGACAAATCTGTGCAAAAACACTGACTTATACACCGGAAAATACGGTACATGTTGAGGATGACTCTCGGCTACTACCACGCCAAAGTTCAGCTTAATATTTGAAAAAAAAAAACAAACTACATTTTAGCCATTTTTGTGATAGTTAATTTTGATTGGCAACAATGGCCATATTGAATCAAGTTGACTCTAAAAGTTATTCAACTGTAGATGTGCATCCATTTATCACTTTCTGAGATTTAATAAAATCTGTCCACTGGTTCATGATATATTTTGCTAACAAAGCGCACACACAAGCAAACACCTGATTGCCCAACTTTCATGGGTGATGAAGACTAAATGTTCTGTTTGGAGCAGGAAGAGCACTGCAGAGGAAAGAACATAAATACTCAACATGTCTTTAAAATAACTCTCGTGATTAGAAAGAGAGAGAAAGGGCGACTTCAAAAGAAAAATTGTTCCTAAAATTAACATTTTCCACGTGGAGGTGCTGTTAGATTAACATTTCTGAAAGTCAAGTTAAACATTTTAAGATGATTATTTTGAGAAAAAGCATTGTATATTGCTCTAGCTGTCTTTCTTTCTTTGCACTTGTTTTTATTTGTAATTAATTATTTTTCTCTCTTCACATCAAGGTAATAACCCGGAATGAGCTGATGCTGGAAGAAACCAGAAACACAATCACAGTCCCCGCCTCGTTCATGCTACGAATGTTGGCCTCCCTTAATCACATCAGATCAGGTGAGCGCACACTAATCCAGATTAAAAACGTCTCCTCTTCCTCCTGATGTTTGTTGATCCTTCCTTCTCGTAGATCGACTGGAGGGCGATCGCTCCGAGGGCTCAGGCCAGGAGAACGACGAGCAGTAGCCAAATTTAATTTCAAGCAAACCCCTTTTGTTCTCGCTGCAAAGCACTTACAACAGATTTGTACTAGTGTAGAATACTTCCTTTGGAATATTAGTGTCATTTTTAGGCCGCTGTGTTTTTTTAAGACGACTTTCTTACTTCTGTTTCTGGATAAAGTACTTCGGCGTGAATGAAAGAGAGTACGTCAGTGTGCACATGTGTGTTGGGAGTGAGAAAACTGGTGAGCGCTGGTGTGAAAGGACGTTTAAGTGCAATATTATTTGTGTTTGGAGCTTTTGGTCAGTGTTAATGTTTGACATTTTGAGCTTGTAGCAGAGGAGCGTTGACGTGCTGCTGCAGGACTTACGCATGTGAACTCAGACTGCAGAGGAAAAAACAGATGCTTTAATTTTGTTCTTTGAAGGAGGAAACAAAAGGAAAAAGCAGTGGTTCTTCTTTCAAGTCTGTTTTATAGAGTTTAAAAGAAAAACAATAAATTTAAACTATGAAAACCAATTTGTATCCTCATTTGTTAATACTGTAACCAATAATCTGTCAGATTACAGGGACACACTGCAGCCGTTTGTCATTGTCTGAATGTTTATGAAGCATCAACTCTATTGCGATCCATTTTTCTTCTGTACGTTTTTCTGCACACAGTTTTTGTGCCATTTCAACAATTCATACATGAAAACATTCAGCTCGTTCAGGAGAAGGGTGCCAGGACTTTTGGTATTGGTGCAACTGTAGCTTTTTGAAATATTTAATGTTTTCTGCCACTGTTTTTCTCATAGAAAATGAATTGAGCTAATTTTACAACCTTCATGTCTTTAGATATGTTTACAACATTTTACTGCTCCTTTCACATTTTGTTCTGCTTCAGCTTCCTTGTACAAATTTTAAAAAAATCAGCTACTTTCAGCTGTTTTTACAGCCGTTTTGTGTTCCTTTCAGATTCTTTCTAACTACAACATTTTTGTGCTTCTAACTTCTTTCTGCCAATTTTAGCTTGTTATACTCCCTTCAGCTTATTTCTGCAAGTTTCAGCTTTTTCTGCTATTTCAGCTACTATTTAGCTGTTTTATGCTAATTTTCGTTTTTTTTTTCAGCTAAATCCATTTTTTTGCACTCATTTCAATTTTTTCAGCCCAATTCAGCAAAAATGTGCTCCCTCCGCTTCCTTCTTGTTTTTTCAGCTTCTTTCTTTATATATTTTTTTGAAATTTCTGTTTTTTGTCCCCAGATAATTTCCTCTTTTTGTGCTCATGTCTGCTTCTTTAAGCCAAATTGGGCAAACGTTGTTTCTGCTAATTTAGGCTTGTTCTACATTTCAGCATGTTTTTAGTTAATTTCAGCTGTTTCTCAGCAAGTTTTTCCACAATAAGCATTCACACTGCATTTTCGCAGGAAATGCAATTTCTCTCGTTATCTTTAGTTTAAAGGTAACTGAGTTAAACTCACTTTTTTTTTTTGGCTTATTGATTTAAGGAGAGTTTTCTGCTCTACAGATCTTCTCACCTTCTGTTGAAGCCACTGGGTAATGGTTTAAAATGAGAATTCGATATTTTTAAAGCTTTTTCAATGATGCAGATCCTTTTTTCATAAAGCAGCAGCTGAATGTTGTGACGTCAGGTGGAGTCCTGTAAAGTTACAAAATTATCATTCGAGTTAATGATTGTCACATCAAGTGATGATCCTTGAATCTCCACAACAGAAATGGAGTCTTAATATAAAACGCTTTATTAACAAGAAACTGGTCTGTTTGCATATTAATTGAGGAGCGTGACTCGCTGTGGTGACCCCTGAAGAGGGAAAAGGCGAAAGAAGAATCAAATTGTGAAGTTTTATTAACATCCTGGAGAAATAACGTCAAACTTTGTGCAAACGAAGTGCCGTCCTTTAATAAAACCTTTGATGGTGACTCTGATCATGATCCTTGGATCACCTAAGGATCGTGGCCTCGAAAACAAAAAAAAATGTAAGACTTCCGCTGGATGAAGAATAGAATTCAAAATGTTTAAATAATCCAATAAATTTAAATAATTGGTCTTCTGTAGATGATTTAAAGGGAACCAAACCTCTTTGACGATGTCACAGCTGAGACGAAAGGACAGCAAACATTTTAATATAAAAACTTTAATACAAATGTTTTGTATCAATAGCTTAAAAAAAAGAATACATCAACTCTTACACATATAGCTTTCTTACAAACGTAGTACCTGATTGAATATAAAAAGTAAACATACAAGGTAAGACTTGAGAAGTGGGATCTACTGACCACAAATGGGCTCTTTGAGTTGCTTTTAAAAAAACAAGAAGTAAAACATACAAAATAAATATACAGTTGAAAAGATTTATTTTTGAGAATCGACTAAATAAGGCTTAATTTATTCCTGAAAATGTTCCTACAACAACCTGTTAATGACTCAAGCCCATTTTCCTTGTACCTCATTGGGCTTTCAGTAATACTTTCCTTCTGAATGTGTTGTATAACAAAGAGCAGGAACTGTGTATCCACAGAAAAAGAAATCCCAGTACCACGAAGCAGCAAGTACCTTCTTCATGCTCCAGCTTCTGATCTGCCAGCGCTGCTCCCGACGTGATTCTGACACGAGTATTAAATGTGTGTTAGTGTTCACTCTGGTTTATTTAAGTGTTTAAGCAGCTCGTGATGACCATCAGGGTGCACAACAAACCAAACACATGGAATTCAGCCATCATCATCCAGATTATCTACAAGTCGTTTTCTTGTATAACTGAAGTGTTTAAAGAAAACATCTGTACTGTCTGAAAATAGTAATGTTAAATACTTATATAGCACCTTTCTATCTAGTCAAGATACTCGAAGATCTTTACACTACAACCTGTGCCCTCATTTACCCATTCATACAGCACTACTGTATCTATACAAATCTAATCTGAAGAAACTAATCTGCTTTATCACATTCATCCATGGGACACACAACAGAGGCAGTGAGGGGTTCAGTGTTTTGCCCAGGGACACTTCAGCATGTGACTACTGGTGGAATCAAACCCCCAACTCTCACATTGGAGGACGACTGCTCTAACCACTGAGCCACAGCCGCCCTCAGGTGGTGTGGAAACAACAGTTTTCTGCTCCTTCCTGGTTTTCCAGCTCTGTGTTCGACTCTGATCTGCCATCGAACTTGACGAGGACTGAACCCAATTTAACGCTGCAGGTCAAGTTTGGAGACTGCTGAAGGTTTTAATGGGCGGTTGCTGTTGGCTGTGTGTGAAAGGCGTAAGATGTGACTTTCTGTGACATATTTTAGGGAGTGTGTCCCTCTTGGCTGGTTACTTTAGTAGTGTTGCAACAATCCAACAAAAACAACTGAACTTCATGTGAACTTGTCAAAAAGAGTGAAACTATGAAAGAGCATCCAACAAAGTTAAGTCAGGTCCTCTGGACAGCTTCTTTATGTCGAAACGTTTCATCTTTCATCCAAAGGACTTCATCAGGCCAAGGAGCTGCAACAAACATCCATCCATCCATTTTCTTTACCCGCTTATTCCATTTTGGGTCACGGGGGTCGCTGGTGCCCATGTCCAGCAATCACTGTGCGAGGGGCGGGGTACATCCTGGACAGGTCGCAAGTCCATCACAGGGACACATAGAGACAAACGAGACAAACAAACATTCACTCTCTCACTCACACCTAGGGACAATTTAGAGTTACCAATCAGCCTAACATGCATGTTTTTGGTCTGTGGGAGGAAACCGGAGTACCCGGAGAAAACCCACGCATGCACAGAGAGAACATGCAAACTCCACCCAGAAAGGCCCCTGGACCGGGGTTTGAACCAGGGACCTGCTCGCTGAGAGGCAGCAGCTCTACCAGTTGCGCCACCGTGCTGCCTGCAACAAACATGTTCTTGTTTTTAGTTTTCTACACCGCCCTACAACCTAGCTGTTTTTTTGTTACATTTTCTTTTAAATACCATTTTATTTTCACTTGTTAAAAAAACTCTATTTGTACGCATCCTTTATGATCGTCTATTATTGTCTTTGTTGCATTGTCATCATTCTTTGTTCAAATCAGGTCTCTCTTGTAAATGAGTCCCCGAGGCTCAATGGGATTAACCTGTCTAAATATTAAAGGTTGACTGAATGAATGGCTTTCTGGAGTCCGCCCTCTCCCCCGTCAACTCCTCTGAGGAAACCATGCCATGTTTTGAACCACTTTATGGGACTGAGTTTGTTGTGGCTCCTCGGACTGACGAAGTCCTTTGGATGAAAGATGAAACGTCTCAACACAAAGAAACCGTCCAGAGGACCTGACTTAACGTTGTTGGATCTTTTACCTGGATTATTGAGCTTGAACTTTGACATGTAGGAGGCAGTTAAACCCAAAGAGATGTTTTATGACTCACAGTCAGCCTGATCCTGTGAGTTGGGGAAATGTGTGCAATGATTTAACATGGCAGAGTAAAAACAATTAGTTTAAAAGGAAATAAGCAAAATTTAAGTTAAAACTGTTGTGACTCACCGACTAATCAGCAACTCCAAACATGTACGTGTTAACTTGATGCTGAATTCTTAAACGAAATGAAGCTTTTGTTAAAGTAGAAAATGCCTCATGGAAGAAAACTATATTCATCTTTCATAATCTGCAGGTCCGATGCAGCATACGATCAGTAAACACTAACAAAAATATAGAAAAACAATAATAATACTAATATTCAAACCCGTTCAGCTACAGTAGTCGAGGTTTCCTATTTGAGTACACGCTTGATACAAAGTTTGCCACACTGATGCTTTTTCCTCAGTCCAGCAGTGGAATGAATAATGTGCCTCTTCCTGTTGGCTAACAACTTCAAGTATGGAGAATCCGAACTTCATGAGCTGAGCTATGAAGCTGTGAGGTCCTCTATCTTTATGGACCTGATGTGTTCAGATGAGTTTCTCCTCCACATCCTGGTGTTCCTCCTCCCGGTCGTCTTTAACGATCCCTTCATCGATGCTCTCCAGTCTGAGTCTCTGACCGTCCTGGTATCTGGGTCTCTGCGCTGCCCTCGTCACGAACAGCCCCCCCTGCTGAGTCACGTCCTCCCCAAACAGCGCAAGCTTAGCATCGCTCTCTATGGCCTTTGCTAAGCTGGAGGCGAACAAGTCGAGGGATTTGTGGACCTCTGCGTGGACTTGGACTGAGGACGTTTCAGCTGAAGAGATGAACACAGATGTCTTTGTGAAGACCAAACAAAGCAAACGCTACAGAGAAATGTTGCTCAATTGTCACTCTATGATAGGTTCATGTTCCAAACATGAAGTGTGTTTCTTTGTTTCTGGGAGATAAAGTTAGAGAGGCTGGACTGAGATGGTTTGGACATGTCCAGAGGAGGGACAGTGGGTATACAGGTAGAAGGATGTTAGAAATGCAGCTGCCAGGAAAAAGACAAAGAGGAGATACATGGATGCAGTTAGAGAAGACATGGTGGTAGTTGGAGTGAGGACAGAGATGGAGGAGGATGACTCGCTGTGAAGACCCCTGAAGAAGGAAAAGCAGAAAGAAGAAGAAGAAGAAGTGTGTTTCTTTGTCTCTAATCTGTCCCACAGAGAACTGAATGATAAATACCTTTAGAATGCTCCACCTGGTCTTCAAAGGTGACTGAGCTCCTCCTTTTCGTGGACGGATTCCCATAATGCAGTGGGAGGGAGGAGCAATCTGTGCAGGAGTTATCTAACAGCATCACATCTGTGCCTGCGTGTAAGAAAACAAGGTTAACTCTACAAACTGTACTTTATATATACTTCAGCATATTTTTAACACTTCCAGCAAAACAAAACGAGAATCAGGTCTGACACGTGACTTTACTGATCCTCTTTGGATGAAAACAAAGTTTGCATCTTCATAAGATGGAGAAAATTACCATGAACTGTATGTTCTGAGGACAAAATGACTACCTGCTTTTGGTGAACGGTGTTTTATTCTACACAAAGTGACAAAGATGACGGAGAAAGTGCAGAAAATTTCTTCAAATTTGGACTAATCGTTACTTTCTTTGAAAGGTCTAATGAGTAAAGTTATAGAAAATAATTTTTTGTTGGTAAGAGAAGCAGATTTTTGTGCCGTTTAAAAATGTTTGTGTTTTATGCAGCACGGACCTGAGTCCTGGGTGAAACTGAAGCCGGTGTCTCCTGTGCTGCTTCCAGGAGCCAACAGGTGTCCTCCACCAGCCAGCATGGCAGTCAGGTGTGGGGACATACCCAAATCTGAAAATAAAAACATCCTATGATTATCCAAAAACATGATTACAGCTAAATATAAAACAGCTCCACACAAAGAAGCTGCTTATTCCAAACCTGTGATCCTGTTGGAGATGCTGAACAGGCGGGACGTGCGCTGCCGCGTGGCGAACGACTCTCTGTAGTAGCGGTCGAAGAAGCACATCCCCAGCAGCTCCTTCCTCACCGTTTTATTCCACAAGCCATAGATGATCGGGTGACACACGGCGCTGCAGAAAGACAGCCACGCCACCAGAGTCTCCAGCTCCTGAGGGACGCTGCCCTGTCCCCACAGAGCCTCGGTACACACCACCCCGACATAAGGCCCCCAAGTCACGAGGAACGTGCCGATCACCACTAAGATGGTGACCAAGGCCTTGCACTGACTCCCTGAGTACACCAGGCTGCGCCGGCTTCCGTGAGAGGAAGTCGATGTGCTCGAGTTCTTGCGTCCGTTCCTCTGAGCTCCATTAGTCTCGTCCTGGGCCACCACGACCGTCCCACAGTGCACTTTCCGAGCTTTCATGCGCGCGACACGAAAAATGACGCTGTAACAGGCCAGCATGACGAAGAACGGAGGAAGGACGCACCAGCTGACCCAAAAGGCCGTGTAGCTCACCTCCCTGGACCACGAAGCAACACACGTCCACTTAAAGCAGTCGAACTCGAAGGAGGACCAGCCGAACAGAGGAGGCAAGCAGCCCACCAGAGAGTGTAACCACACATAGACGATGACCACCACCGCCCGGTTCCCCGTGATCTTCATGGGGTAGATCATTGGGTAGAGCACGGCGTAGTATCTAAGATGAGACAGAAACAAGGTGAGGAAACCCAAAGAGAAACTCAAAAAGGCTCTCATGAAAGATCTGATCCAGAACTCAGAGGCTGCTGAGAGCCGTATGAACCTCTAACAACTCTAATGCATCTTGATAAAAGCTGTAAACCCTAAGAAAGACGGGAACTGGGCAAGTATTGTTAAAAAAAATACAAATGCAAATTTACTATAACTTTATGAGAATGATGCATGCAAAAATGATGTAACCACAATTGTGATTTGGGACAAACCTGTCAATAGCAATCGCTCCGAGGGTGAGCATGCTGGCTGAGCTGATGAGCAGATAGAGCAGAGCCGTGAAGTTGCACCAAACCACCCCGAACACCCAGTCTCTCTTAGCTGAGCTCACCGCCACGAACGGCAGCACCAGAACAGACAGAAGCAGGTTGGATAGGGTCAGGCTGAACACGAACTTGTTGCTGGGTGTGAGCAGGTACGGCCGGCGGTAGAGGGTCACCACGATCAGCAGGTTCCCCAGGCAGGCGAGGAGCGTGATGGTCACTATAGACACGGACTCCAAGGCTGCCAGACCCTCGCCATTCCCCACCGAGGTGCAGTTCCTGCTGATGTTCATGGTGCGAGACTGGGCCATCGGACGGGTGATGCAAGGGTAGGAAACTGCTGAAGAAGTTTTAAATAATAGAGAAAAGTACATAAAAATTCATCTAAAACGATCTATTATTTCAAGAGTTCACAAATAAAATGTCGGTTCATTTTCTGATCTGAACGTTCAAATGACAAAATCTGCACATGAGGAAAAAACTATCAGATTACATTTGGCAAGAAAATTTCAAAACCCGAACAAGCAAAGTGTCGAAGCATCACTGACCATATAATCAATAATGTAACATAATTTTAGCTGAAAATGTGAATTATTTATTATAAAAAATTTAAACTGTAAAACAAGCTTAATTTATAACAATAACTACAGGATGTGCAGCCCCTGAGCTCTTGGCTTTCAGTATCTGTGGCCCCCTGAGCAATTGAGTTGAATAGCCCTGAAATAAGCTTATGTGACATACATGACATACATACATGCTACATCATAAAACATAAAAATATAAATATTCATGCAGCTACAACAAATTCAAGCAAAGTATGATTTTTTTTTGTTGGTAATTCTAAAATCCACAACAACTAAGATTATATTTTATATATATGTGTGTGTGTGTGTGTGTAATTAAAGATATTTATAGAAACCTATCTATATGCAGTAATTTCTCTACAGTACTTTTCAGTAATTAATAATCTTGTTAATTATATGATTCTTATAAATATTCACTGATGGGTGAATGACTAACGGTAAATTATTACACCTAAAACAACTTTATTATTGATTTAAAGCTCATAAAATAAATACATATTTCATAATTAACCCTAATTTAAGTACTTAACGTTATAATATAACTTATGACTAGTTGTCCCCCGCCTCTGGCACACTGATGCTGGATACAGGCACCAGGGACCTCCGGACCCAATTAAAGCTGCTGCATTCTATTCATATACACATCTGCTCACAATTCAGGCTGCTGTTTTACTATTTGACATTATTAGTGTTTACTACGAGCATACATCATTGTTTTACAGGGTTTACAGGGGTGGCGCTAGAATGGTTCCGTTTGTATCTGGGTGACAGGAGTTTTTGTGTTAACTTTGACAATCATTTATCTGCTTCTGTCCCTCTTTCCTGTGAGGTCCCACAAGGCTCCATTCTTGGACCCCTTCTGTTCTCATTGTATCTGCTCCCCTTGGGGTCAATCCTGAGGAAACATGGTATTTCGTTTCATTGTTACGCCGATGATTCTCAGATTTATCTGCCTTTAAAACCAAACAGTTCCTGCTCCATCCACCCTTTGCTAAAATGTCTTGATGACATCAAGACTTGGATGGCTGCAAGCTTCTTGAGTTTTAATGATCAGAAGACTGAGGTCATTGTGTTTAACTCAAGCTCTACCACTGTCACTGATCCTGTAAACCTGCACTCCCTTCAGCCACATCTAAAGCAGTCGGTTACCAATCTCAGGGTAGTGTTAGACTCGGACTTTAAGTTTAATAAACAGATCAACTCTGTTCTACAAAAAAGCTTCTTTCAGCTAAACCAGATAGCAAAGCTTAAGTCCGTCCTGTCCAGATCCGACCTTGAAAAACTAGTCCATGCATTTATTACTTCCCGGCTGGACTACTGTAACTCACTTTATGTTGGGGCTAGTCAGGCTTCACTTTCACGTCTCCAGCTCGTACAAAATGCGGCAGCTCAGCTACTAACAGGAACTCACAGGTTTGAGCACATTACTCCGGTTCTGTCCTCTCTTCACTGGCTTCCTGTATGTGTCAGAGTTGATTTTAAAATTCTCCTGCTGACATTCAAGTGCATTAACGGCCTTGCACCATCATACCTCTCCGACCTTCTTCATCCTTATACTCCTTCTCGGGCTTTGAGATCATCAGACCAGCTGCTTTTGGCCATACCAAAAACCAGCTGAAGCTCAGAGGAGATCGAGCGTTCTCAGTCGTGGGCCCTAAACTCTGGAACAATCTGCCCATCAACATTCGACAGGCCACCTCAGTCTCTGCTTTTAAATCTCTCCTCAAAACACATCTGTACTCATTGACATTTAACACAGGGTGATCAGATTTAGATCTAGTTCTTCATTGATGCTGATTCTGTTTATGCTTTTGTTATTATTCCTATTTAACACAAGGTCATCAGATCTGATTTAGTATTTCATTGTTTCTAATTATGTTTTCTGTATTATATTTTTATTCCATGTGCTGTAAATATATCTTGCTACTTTTTATTTGATGTGATATTTTTGTTAAGCACTTTGGTAACAGTTTCTGTTTTAAATGTGCTCTATAAATAAATCTGACTTGACTTTTAAATAAATGTTTTATTTGTTTACAATGCTGTTTAATCTTTTCATCATTTCAATAGAAAATCGTTTCAGAATCGAAAATTGACTTTGAATCGAATCGGCACACCAAAAAAAAAAAAAAAAATCGGAATCGAATCGATTCGCCAGACACTGAGATTCGCACCCCTAACTAGATGTTGTGATGTTTATTTGTCATATGCAGCTTCACACAGGGTCAACGAAATGTTCAGGATGACAAGAACCGACATCAACTCGCTAAAAACAAACAAAACAAGAAATACTAAAACATGCAAAATAAAGTACCAAAAAGTGAAATATATTTACTAGGTCCAAAAGAACTATAGTAAACAACAACATGGTAGAATATAACGGTGCAAGTAGGATGAATTATATAAAGGTAGTGATATAGGCTTAATGCAGATTATATATATTGTACATAACTAACAAACTACACAGGCTGTGACAGATTACTGAACAGGTAGTGATTAACCTGGAGATTAACTGAACTATGATGGTGACATACATGATACATATATGATTACTAACATATGAAGCATTTCTATACTAAAACTATAAATATTCATGCAACACAAACACTATAATTTATACATATAAAGAGTTATACAATATCACTGTTGTTTTAGATAATGGGTCTAATATACAGCTGCATGTAACTTTAAAAAAACATGTTTTGTTTACTTGGGAAAAGAGATTTTAATCGTTTAAATGCTAATCAGGATTGCAGATCACAGGGTGGGTATTAATCTCTAAACTTTATTTCAAGTCGCTACAGGTTTTAATTGTAACTAAAGTCTTTGTTGGTATAATTTACACCACAAACTTGCATGTGTTGTCCCTCCGCGCGTGCGTTTTCAATGAGCTGTTCTAGAGTTTTACAAAAACACAACGTTTAGCGACATTTTAGCTTTCTGAGCTAAATCCGGATGAAGTTCGGTGAAGGTCCAGTCGACAGCCAGAACCTCCAGCTCTGTTAGCCGCGCCGCTAACTGCAGCTGGAACCTCCCCAAACTTTCTCCCATTGTCCTCCGCCAACCTCGGTTCTCTTACCTGCTTTTGTTCGGTGCTCTGGCTCCTCATTGCTCCCCTCTGCGGAGATAAAACCTCCATTGTACTTTTCTGCTTCCACACTAAATGCCGAGGAGAAAAGCAGCTAAAGTTGGTGTGGAAAACTTTCAATCCTTCCTATCCCGAGCTGCCAGCTGCAATGGCGTCCTCCTCCTCCTCCTCCTCCCACCCAAGATGAACTCCCCTCGGAGCAGCAGCCTCTCGGTGTGTGGGTGGTCGTGGAGGAAAACGGGCCTGTTGTTTCTTTATTTCACCATGGACCGAGCTAATGTTCATAAATCACCACTAACGTTGTTCTAAACGTCACGGACTTGGTACTGAACACACCTCAAAAAGTATTTTTTATTCGGTTTTAAGGGCGGTATGTATGTAGTATGTTCGTGTGTCATTTTGTTGAAAACAAAAGATACAATACAAACGCTTGTATATGTATACGAGCTCGCGTTTACATTGATTATTGTTTGTTGATACAACTTGCATCAATTTACAGCCTGACTCTGGACCACACACGTAGATCGTAGCTTCCCGCACTAATACGTCATCAACTGACAGCCAATCAGAAACGTGGTGTTGTACCGAAACAAGTACCCCAGAAGTGCAAACGCCGCTCTGTCACGGGAAGCCGGAAAACGAACAGATTTGTAGTTTTTAGTCCTTTTTAGAAACATTTCTCTATAATTGTTATTTACGTGCACTAATGCAGACTTTTATCAAACTGATTAAAAACACAAGTTCTCCTTTGAATACTTTTCCCACGATAGTTTTAATTTTTTCATTAACCCGTTTGTTTTTCTTACGACTGGGACACTTTTTTCGATACAACATCTAGTGCGATATCACCTCTAACCGTTTGGTGGCGCTGTCACAGAGAACAGAGTCCAGTTTTACTTCACCCGACACCAAAAGCTAAATGTAGAAGAACAGCAACTAAAAACTAAACAGGATAAGACAAAAATGGAGCCAGTTATGCTGAAGAATATTTCAAAGAAAAAAATGTTTTTGGAAAATAAAAAATACATTTATATATTTATATGGGTCATTAATTTAACAATTTATCATCATCAATTTAACATTTGGTATATTCACTGTGAATAAAATATGGGTTCATGAGATTTGTAAATTATTGCAATCAGTATTTATTTGCATTACATACATACAGTACGTACATGAACGCCCCTACAAGAACCCTGCAGATGTTGGATGCTGTCTGTCACGGTGCACTAAGATTCATAACTGGCTGTAATTATCGTACCCATCACTGCACCCTGTGTTCACTGGTTAACTGGACATCATTAACTTCACGCAGACTCTCTCACTGGTACATTTTCATCTATCATTTCTTTGCAATTGTAATAAACAATTTTTATACAATCTCATCTCCACTCTGTTCCTCCAGATTTTGTGTTTCGATACTTACCTTCGAGAGGATGTGCCAGGAAGTCTGAATGAAACAAAATCAAATACTTTAAGCTCTGCTTCTACCTGGGAGATAATACCATCCAGGCGGTGGAACCAAAGTGCAAGCACAGTGACCTCCAACAAGGTGTTTGTGAGATGATGCTCATGTTAAAATATTTAATTTTGTTTCACATATTTGTCTATTTAAAAGGCCACCTGTCTAAACAGTCTTTTGCATATATGTGATGAAGTTTTGTACTTGCTGCTTACTAATGCTGACTTAGTAATCCCTGTCAGACCCAGCTCCAGAAGAATTTAACTGGGGGGCTGAGGAATATTTTGGGAAGGCCCAGTAAATAGTAATTTTATTTTATATAAATACATAAACACTTATGTAGCCTTGCAACTGAAATAACCATATGTTGTTTATTAATACAAAACAAATAACTTAAACAGTGACATGTAATCACCAGAAAATGCTGAGTAATTGTGCTCAAGTTTGCATATTTTTTTTTTGCATAAATCTTATAGAAACTTCCACTGCATTAATTGTGTTTGAAACACATTAACACCAGAAACTTGAAGTCAACTGTGCATGAACTTCTCCTGAAGACGGGTGAAAATGTTTTTAAAAAATACTCAACATTTTGAACATTTCCAGATGATTGAAGTCTTCTTAATAGTCTGCCCTTCCATTCTGTCTTGAATTTCCTGGTTAGATCCTTCTCAAAGGCAAGTTGAATTAAACAAGCTTCTTCTGTGCTCGCTGAACATATTTTTCAAAGTGGAAAAATAATTCTTACACATGGCTGTAGAGCAGGGGTCTGTGACCTTTATGATCAAAAGAGCCATTTTTACACCTTCATGTACCAAATTCAACGCTTCCAGAGCTGCAACAACCTGCTACAACTGTTGTCAACTGGTGGCCCATGGGCCACTTTAAGTTTGTTGGAGGAGACTTTTGTGGCCAGTAGGGGTGACATTATAAAGTTAAAAATATCTAACGATTTTTAACATTTATTAGTATTAATTACAATTTAAGACAAATGAAAAGACCAGATTCTTGTAGAGAGGTGGGGAAAGTTTTTTTTAATTAAAAAACAAAACAAACTACAAGCTATGCAGATCTATGTATTTTTTTCCAATTGTGGAAAAAATAATTAAGTATAGAAATAAAGCAAAATGCTAAAGTGAGTATTTGCCAAAGAAATGACATGAAAACAGCTAAAACTAGTACTTTTTTTGTTGTTTGTATAACATCCAATAAACTTCAGTTTTCTGTTAGTTTTAGTCAAAGCTTGAACGAGCCGCTGTGGAGGAACCAAAGAGCCGCATGTGGCTCTGGAGCCGTATGTTGCAGACCCCTGCTGTAGAGGCTCCAAAGGTTACGGCAGCCTTTAATCGCCTATAGCCCCCCCTGCTGGTTGTCTTGAGTCAATACACTGCATAGGTTCATCCAACAGTTTTCAGTCAGGTCATCTGGACAGTTTCTTTTTTTGTGCTGAAACGTTTCACCTTCCATCCAGAAGGCTTCATCTGTCAAGGAAACACAATACAAAACTGATTCTTCCCCCAGCAGCTTAATCCAGTTTGGTTACTGGTTTGTTCCACTTTGGAGTAAGCTGTTGGGGGGAAGAATCAGATTTGTGTTGCATTTCCACGACTGATGAAGCCTTCTGGATGGAAGGTGAAACGTTTCAGCACAAAAAAGAAACTGTCCAGATGACCTGACTGAAAAATGTTGGATTTTATACCTGGATTATTGAGCGTGGACTTTGTTGCATAGGTTGCATGGGGGGGTGGGTGGAGGATACCTGAATGATACGGGTAATGCAGTAAAAACGATGTTGTTGTTGTTTTGTAAATACCGAAGTAATGTTTAATAAATGTTACGACTATTCTTTGCCAACAAAATATATTCACCTCCTCAGTTAAGCTGCTGTTTTTTTATGACGCTTGCCACCCACAGCACGCACGCGACAAAGAGTCAACTCAAAGCGAGAGCAACACCTGCCCCCTCTTTCCTCTTTCGCATTGACAACGTTTTTTTAGTTTTATCGATGGTCAAAGCACAATTTTGATGGTTTTTTTTAAATTATTTGTTGTAAATACAGAAGTAATGTTTAATAAATGTTAGGACTCTAGTCTTTGCTAACAAAATATATTTCATCATTAAACAACTTGTCAGGTTCTTGTCATGTGAGCATGCGCAGTACCCAGGACCGCCGCCCCCCACCGGCCCGCTCGCTCTTGCGCACTTTGCGACTTCTCTGCTGTTGCTGCACTGAAGACCAGGTCCAGGTCCAGGTCCAGGTCAACATTGAGCAGGAGCTGTGAGCTGTAGGATCATGTTTCAAACTTCGCTTCGAAAAGCTGTGCACTGCAAAACGTGCTCCTTGTAGCCATTAATCCTGACTTCTTCATTTTGATTTTTAAAATAAGCAGCACAAATTGTTTTATTCTTTTTTTTTTCTAGATCAAAATGTTATAACACTACTGAGTTAAAATGTTGCTGATCAATTTGAATTTATTATTATTTATTGATTATATTTTATTTTATTTTTCAGTATCAAATGGTCAAAAAGGTTAACAGTTTAAATTTTTTTTTCAGGCAAATTGCTGCACTTTAAGTCTTTTTTGTTACGGACTATAAAATAATGTTAATAAAGTTTTTCTTTGTTGTAAATTGAGCTATATTCTTTTTTTCTTTAATGTTAATAAGGATACAATGCTATGCAGAGGTGCACTTATAACAATTTTATAGACAAATTATATTATGTACAGTCGCGGCAGAGAGTCGGGGGGGGGGGGGGGGCGTAACATGTTTTTGTTTTCCTAGGTGGGGGGCATAACAGAAAATAATTGAGAAGCACTGTGCTAAGGCAAGATTTTTATTTTATTATTGCTAGACTCACCACTTTCATATACATGTAATAAAATAAATAACAGCACTGAAAATCTTCCCTTGTGATTCAATACATCAGCTACATCATGTTAACACAGGTACTTTGGGTAATCATGTAATGCTGAAGTAATTTTCAGTGGTTCTGGTGTAAAATATTAGTTAAAACTTCGGCATGGGGCTCTGTGGAGTGTAGTCGGTCAGAAGGGACACCATCAGACCCTAAAAGAGGTATATTGTGGGGTTTAATATACAGAGAACATTCTGATAGATTTAAAAACTGGAACAGAAGCGTTTCAGAAGATTACCCACCATGATGGTCCATTTACGATTTTCAGCTTCAGGGAAGACGAGTGAGCGGGGCGAGTAGAAAACCTCGTCGTCCACCTCCTCCATCTTCCGGGGGAGGCAGTGCAGGAAGGTCCAGTCTGGTCTGGCCACACTTCCTGTCTGTAATCCACCAAAACACAGAGAGTCAAGTATTTTTTATGACAATGTAATGACTTATAGGAGACGTTTTTTTTGTTTCCTTTTATTATCAACTTGATCTTTTTTTCTGTACATGATTTGTACACAATTAAAAAAAACTGTTTTTTTGTACCTGCATTGTAATCTGGTATCCATGGAAGTCTTTGAGCCTCTTCTTCTTCTCCTCCTCCTGACCCATACTGACCCAAGTGTCAGTAACAAGCACATTGGTGCCATGGGCTGCCTCCATGGGGTCAGAGGTCAGAACCAGCTGGGTCCCATGCTGAGGCAGAATTCAGATTTACTGATTAAAAACAACCCAGAGTGAACGTTTAAAGCAGAACCTGACTGTAAGCAGTTCAAACTTCAGTCTTACCTGTTGAGACAGCCTCTGTGCCTCGTCCAGGACACTTCTGTCAGCCTCGTAGCCCTGTAAAAAAAAAAAACTACATGTTTACTAACGGTCTAAACAAGACGAGGAGAAGACCAAAACAGGCAAACCTTTGGTGTAGCAACTTTCAGATGAACACCCAGTTTGGCTGCAGTCATCATGAAGGAGTGGAGGACATTGTTCCCATCTCCGATCCAGCTCACCGTTAGTCCACTGAGAGATCCATAATGCTCCTGTGGAGATTTAGCTACATTTACTATAATCTGAAGGACAGGCGTTGTAGATTCAGGTGAAACCGGTACCTGTAAAGTAAGGAAGTCTGCTAGAATCTGAATTGGGTGATACAGATCAGAGAGACCGTTGATGATGGGGATGGAAGCCTCCTTGTCCAGCTCTTCCAGAGTCGAGTGGCTGTACACTCGGGCCAAAACGATATCACAAAGGCCCGACAGAACCCTGTGGATACAGACAACAGTATACATGTCAGTGTCAGAGTATTACATTACAACCAAAGGGTCCTACACATTTCAAGTCATAATTAGGCCTGTCACGATAAACAATAAATCAATTAATCTCGTGATAAATGAAAATTATCGACCTCGTTTTCATTTATCGGCTTTATCGCTTCTTCGCGTCTCTCTCTTTCTACTGAAGACAATGGACGACAAATAAAAATCAACTTCGGTGATCTTCACTGACCCCTCCCTTTCTCTTTAAAATACATTTTAAACGTCCAAAATCGCGTTTTTGGATCGTTAAAAGCAGCTAAGCTGAGAAGCTAAGCTATGAGCTAAGCTAACAGGGCGACCTCGGGGAAAACAACGTCAGTCTTGTCGAAGCTCCAAAATTCACGGTTGAAACCTGTGCCTTGGTATAAAAAGTTGTTTTTCCTCTGCAAAAAGAAGCTGAGAACTTGTTCACTGATTTTTTATTAAAAGTTTTGTGTGACAAATGTTATGCTAAAGAGCTCAAACCACACCGAACGTCTGCCATTTTGAGAACTGAAAAACAGGAGAGACAGCCCATGTCACGTCAAGAGGCCTCCCTCCCATTTTTCTTAAAAGAGACACTGCTCACTCCCTCACTATCCATCCTTCGTTCAAACAGTCTTATACTGCTATCCAGTGGTCAAAAAAGGTACTACACACAAAAATTACCCAACATTTCTTCTTAAATTTGACAATTACTAATTATTGTCAAATTTCAAACAATAGTATCGTTTATCACAATAATTTCTGAGACAATAATCGCCCAGCAAAACTTGTTATCGTGACAGGCCTAGTCATAATGACTGCAAATTTACTGTAGAATAATGTGATATTATTTTGGCTGTATAAGAGAAAACTTAATGATGGAACACAGGGAACACCACTTTTAAAGAAGAAAGGCATTTCTAATTTAAGTTTTTTCAATTAATCTATCATTTGAACCCCAGGATTTCAGTCTTTTGCAGCACAAAGTGAAGTTCTTGTGAAAACTGTATGTTCTCTTATATAATAGAACAAACTATGTTATAGGGTTGGGTTGGGACTAAAAAGTGGCAAACTGTATATGCAACAGTTTAATAATCTGCACTTAAACAACCAAATATCATGAAACGTGCAACCATTGGGCGTGAGTTAGGGTTTTACATGTCATATAGTGGAACTGTAAACTGGACTGCAAACCTTACTGTTAGAGGACAACCAGTATCACCTCAGGCAGGAGCACTAAGCATGTATGGGTTTTCCATCAGTAACTCAAAACACAATATATTGATGAGTAAAACCTTAAACTCAAGGCTTTTATGTGTTGGATGGAGCAAAAGAATATTGTACGGGTTAGACCCTTTCTTTTATAGACATTCATTGTGAAAATACGTTGAGCAATTTTCATAAAATCAGATCTTTTTATAAGAAATGCAACAAATCTCAGTAATACTAATGTTTCTCTCTTATATAGTCTGTATTGTTCCAAATTTATCCAGGCCTGGTGAATAATTAAACCAAAAGTTGCCCTTTTCAACACTGCGTAGAAACCATTTTCCTCTTTAAACTTGTCCTGAAAGTTAAGCCAATATACAGTAAAGTATTTAAAAGAAACCTTGCTGTGTCGGTGCAACTCTCATTCACTCCCAGGTGGATGTCCTGTGATGTCAGAAAGCAAGGGTGTCCACCCAATAAAGCAAAACCTGAAACAATAATAATAATGTTAAAGAAAACTCTGGTCTTAGAAAAAGACAATTAGGCCCTGAAATATTATTAACCAAACAGAAATGTCAGAAACATGTAAGCGTTGTTTGGGTTAACAGGGGCAAATGAAGAGGAAGGAGGTGATGAGTGTTTTACGGTGGCCCTAAGGTGGAAATGAACATTTGAAAAAAGTGAATTACATTAAGCCAAAGCGGAAGTTTAAAAAAAAAAACTTTATTATTATGATTATTTATTAACTTTATTTTTAAAATGTTTTGTCCGTGAGGCTGACACATTATCCAGTTTTAAAACTAGGCTTAAGACTTTTCTTTTTTGCTAAATCCTATAGTTAGGGTTGGATTGATTTTCCTGAGCTGTCCTTAGTTATGCTGCTATAGGCTTAGACTGCTGGAGGACAAACTGACCACACGTTTCACTCTGCTACTGTCTTTACTTACTCTGTTCAACCTGTTTTGTATTTGTAATTATTTTTTCTATCCTTAACATGTGTTTTTTTTTGTCTTTCAGATACACCTGGACCTATACCTGGACCTACCATTCTGTGTTCGTCTGTCTCTCCTTCCCGTCCCCTCAACCAGCCGGTCGAAGCAGATGGCTGCTTGTCCTGAGCCTGGTTCTGCTGGAGGTTTCTTCCTTTTAAAAGGGAGTTTTTCTTTCCACTGTTGCCACTGTGCTTGCTCAGGATGGGAGACTGCAACGAAGCCAAGATTCAACTTGTCTGCAGGATTCCTTAGATAGAGAACTTTACTAATTGGCTTTTATGTGAATGTTCCTGTAAACAGTTGTTGTGATTTGGCGCTGTATAAATAAACTGAACTGAATTGAAATGTAATTCCGTTTTTTCTAACGTGATTCGGGCCACTTCCACCACTTCCACTTTGGCTTAACGTGATTCCGTTTTTTCAAATGTTCATTTCCACCTTAGGGCCACCGTAGTGTTTTGTTAGAGGCTTGCACTGAAAAGTGTCTTTCAGCAGCTCTTTTGTTCATGTGAACAATAACAGTGATCAACATGATCCAGTCAGCAGCACGAGGACACGTTCTGCTCAGATGTTCCCATAAATGTATTCAATATTTCCCAAACTCCATGATTGGAAGGGGGTGTTTAACAGAGCTCCATTTACTAAACGAACACCTGTTTCTGTGGACATTCTTGTTCTGGTGCTCCTCTTCTCAAATATCATTGCAATCGACTTTCCTTGCAGAAGAGGCAGATACTGAAATAGAAAGAAGACAGTTTGTGTAAATGACCCAGCCAAAGGGTGGAGCCCATTAAACTGATTGATGTTTGTTACTTTACCTGATTTTCATGCTTTATTCTACGCTTGAGATCTCCTGACACCCACAACAGCCTCTTGATCTCATCCGAGTTAAAATCTTTCAGTGTGAGAAAACTGCGACCTTTTAAACTCGCTGAAGTGCAGGAAGCTGCTCCAGTGCTGGAAAGCAACAAACGGGCTGATGAAACGCATGGTGACATGAACTCATGGACAGACTTTGGAGTTTCTTACCCGAATCCTCGTTTCCAGCTGTGCAGGGACGGATTCAGAAGTCTGAGAACGCGCCTGCTGACAGACAGCAGCTCCGGAGACATTGCTGTGCTGAGGAGATCCTAAGAGCTCCTAAAGACGTGGGACTTTTCAGTCACAGCGAAAACGGCATGTGCTGGGTACGCTCCGTTTATCTACCGGCGTACGTGACGGAACTCCAAGTGGGCGGAGTATAAAAAACATATTTTAACGTCATGTTCAAATTTTATCCTGTTAACAAAGCAATAATAAAATCAGTTTTCATTTAAACAAAAATATGTATCGTTTTAACATGATTCCTTTATCCATTAAAAACGCTTTACTTTAGTTTAAGGCAATAACCCCCCCCCTTCCGTTCATTCATCATAGCCGGTGACAATAAAAGGAGCAAACCCACCATGAACAGACTGACAAGCGTGGCCAAGAACCCTGTATGGCAAGTAAACTTATCATATAATTACCATAATTGAGGAAAGTGCTTCTGAAGCTCTAACATGTTTTTTTGACAAATAATTAAATTATAGAAATCTGAGAGATATTTATAAATGTATACAGTTAAGTTATTAAACATTAAAGCAACCACTTATAATTTTAAGGATTTTTGAGAAAACAACAAAAAAGGTTAAATCATGTAATCTGGACCAGTTTCTTTAAGTAAGAAACATTTCGCCCCCCATCCAGAGGACTTCATCAGTCTGCGGCCTGCCAGCCAGATCTGTCCCATAGGCAGCCTGCAATGTGTTTCAAGCCAGCCTCCTGTTGGAATCTCAGAAGAAGGTTTTTAACACGTGCAAACAGAGCAGATTTGTAGAAACCCTTGCCCTAATCCAACCACACATTTTACTAACAGTAACGTTGTTTTAGACATCTTTAATTTCAGTTCTCACTTATTTGCATGTCATTTAGATTGGGAGGTGTTGAGCGAAAGAAAGAACTTACACCTTCTGCAATCTCATTCTTACACCAGTAAAGTCTACTACAGCTGTAAATGGATCCTGGTAATTAAGTTTTCTAGGGCATTCAAAAGTTTTCAGATTAAAAAAGAATCAGATTGTAGAAAAAGCCAGAAATAACCTTTTTAGGCAATAATGTTTTTAAATATCTGTTATCTTTAAATATTAAACATTAGACCTTGTTTGTAGGATTTTTCTGTAAAAAAAAAAGTTAATCATCTTTTACAAGTATGTTTTCTTATTGCTAAATTTTACAAGGACAATCACTTCAGAGTGCTTTTTAGCACCTACATGATTTTCTGCAACTTTTCTGAGTTTTTTGTTGCAACAGTTAATTAACTCTATTAATTATATATGTAGTTAAATTTATTGATCACTACTGTTTAGAATAATTTGAACAATATGATAAATAACCCTGAATAGATAGACAGATAGATAGATAGATAGATAGATAGATAGATAGATAGATAGATAGATAGATAGATAGATAGATAGATAGATAGATAGATGACTTGCAGTTCTATTTCAAAATAGATTCTACAGGTTCATCGCTCTCCTCTCTCACGACCTGTCTTGAAGAGGTAAAAGTCTGGATGAATGCCAACTTTCTCCAATTAAACACATCAAAAACAGAAGCTATTTGGTTGGTACCCCACATCAGACTCACTCAATATCTATCTCTACCATAATCTTCTCTGGCCAAAACATTCCCTTTGCTGATACAGTGAGTAATCTTGGTGTAAAATTTGATTCTCATCTTACATTTGAATCCCATATTAAAACATTTGCAAGACTTCATTCTTTCATCTGAAAAACATCTCCAAACTCCGTCCATTACTCTCCTTTTCCGATGCTAAAAAACTTGTCTGTGCTTTTGTTTCCTCAAGACTGGATTACTGCAATGCACATTTCTATGAAATTCCATCTAAGCACATTCAAAAACTTCAGTATGTACAGAACAGTGCAGTCATGATTCTGATGAAGCAAAGGAAACATGATCACATCACCCAAATCCTTAAATCCCTGCACTGGCTTCCCATTTCACTCTGTATTGAACACAAGTTCTATTTCGTATAGGCTTCGCCCTTTAAGGCTATCGCTAGTGGGTTTATCCCTTTGCGCGCAGCACTGAAAACTTTAGTCCGCGCCCACAGGCTGTGTGGGCCCCGCGCCCGGTTCGCATAAATTACGGTGAGACCGGGCATTCGGCTCCCAATTTTTCTTCAGCCAGCTAGCTAGCACTGTCAGAAGAATGAAGAAGTAAAAGATGTCAAGCTTTGACCGGCACAACTTTTGCGAAGGATGCCTGGGTCTCCGCCACGC